TAATACATAAATTCTATTTTTTTAATGATATGCCAATGACGGTCGGTCACCGCCAAATAATGGCTTAACAACGAAATATTAAATATTATTCAACATTAACATTAATATATCAATTATTAATTAATTTGTTTGTAACGGTCTGTAATGGGGAAGCTCGGTGCCATAGAAACATATCCAATAATATCTGGTTTTCCGCCATATGGTTGCTAAGGAGCCATAGAAAAGAAGTCAGCTCTTATAATCCTCCGTTGCCAGGGAAATGTACTCAATGACCTTTAACCTTTAACCCCGGCTGCTAAGATCTGTAATGGTGAGAGCCTAGGGGGAGGGGGATGGGAGGGGAGCCACAAAACCTCGATTTACAACTTACACTCACTATTTTCTTTGAAAATATATGTGAGTTCCACAAAATCATTCGAAATTATACGATATAGGATCTTTGATATCAACGATAAATTATTAAACATATGGCAAACTCTAAGATGTTCAACCGATGAGCGATATAAGTCCATTTCTCTTCCAGAAGGTATCCACAACGAAATTTAAATTCTCAAAAAAGAAGTATAATTTTGCTACTTGGTACACTGCATTTTAATTTGAAAAATTAACCGAAATTCTAATATGATTTCGTTGTGAGCATAAAACTGAATTACTTGAATGATAAAAATCGTCTCTGCACTTTTTGTGGAACGAGAAGAAGATGGACTTCCATCATGATCATATGATACTGTATGTTCTTAAACCTTCTGCGTTCAAATGCAGAAAAAAGATGAAATTCCATAACGAGTAATATTTTTCCTTTACCATTTTGTGCAACTTTCGAGATGATCTAATATTCTTAAAGCTTGTTGAAAACTGAACTACTTTAACATAAAAGGTTTATTTGTATGCTGCCTCGTTTCCTTGTAAAATCCTAAACTCCGAACTATTCTAGGCAACATTCCATGTTTTGCAATTTTATAACGCTAGCTAGTTTTTGGATAACTCATTTCTAGCTAAAAAAAACGAAATTTTGTGTTGATAATAGAATAAAATAATCTATATTTGTAATAAAAACCTTCATAGACTTTGCTTCTATACTTAAGAGGATATAGGTGTTACAATGTAAAAGGTAAATATATCAGTCATTTGAGAGAAAAAACCAGTATTTTTGCAGAAAAGACACTTTAAAAAAGTGCAAACTGGACGGCCGGAACAAGACAGGCTCAGTAAAAAGTGGACGTTTTCGGACAGGGGAACAGGTCGAAAAATGCTATTTTTCTACGGACGTCCTGTACGGATGCCCCTTAATTATAAGTCTATTAATTTATTATTTGCATTTGAAAAAAAATCAAAGAACGTAATCTCAATTTTCGTGGATTATATCATTAGAAAAACTTTTTTCGCCTCTATAAGTTCACCAATTTTAACAATTATCGAAAAACAACGATCATGTAAATTTTTATAAAAATAAAAAGAACTTTTTTTTTCTAACTTCGTTATCCATATTGCATACTACAGTATAGTAAACTCTATTTATATGTATGTATTGCTTTGCAACATAAAATAAAAAGCAAAAATTACAATGTATAAATTTTCATCGACTGTATTGATTCACAATTTATTCAATTGTAAGAAAGCCAATTAATAATTTGTTTTTCTCTGTTTTGGTTTGTATGTTATTAAGATATATTTTTCGATTTTTGTTATCATTATTTTTTGATGTTTACAAAATGACTCATGTTTATTTTTGTTTGCAGTGTTTTTCATCTGGATGATCAAAATATGATCTATCTATATTTTTATAAAAGACGGCTTTTTTTCTATCAACATTGAGATAGACATTGGTTTTTTTTTCTTATGAGGCACTTGAGTAAATTTTTGTTTTGTATTGAAAAATATTTCAATTTTATAACCTAAAAGTGTTTTTAAAATTATGGTATCGAACAATTAATATTCACTAAATATTCTTTTTTATGTTTAAATCTCTTCTCCCCCTTGTGCTTTACGTTTATCTGTCTAACTCAATAGATATTTTCAAAATATTAAACATTTGTTTTTACTGTCGTTGATCAATTAATGAAAAGAGAATCAACAAATTGATGAGAGACAATAACCGTTTATATCCAGATAAAAATACAAATTTGATCATGAAATATTTATCATTATGTACATATTCATGCAAGCAAGAAAGAAAAAAATTTTGATACTACTGAATAGCGTGGCGTAATGAAACAAAACGTGTGGGAAAAATATTCATCCATTATCTATCTTATCATGATACGTATAAAATTGTACGGTTGATTGATTCTAGTAAATAAACATTACTTGGAAAAAACCAACTAACTTCATTGGATATAAATACGTAAGATAACTTGCTTTCAAGATGCACAAAAACAACTTAAATATATTCCAGTGTTAATTTTCATCGTAAGTATATCTAATTATCTATATATCGATTTTCCTATGTAATGCAACAATTCAAACATAAATATTGACTTCAGAATTCGAAATAAATGTTTATATCACGTTGTAGAGTAAACTCAAAAACGTAAGAAAATATACTTTATTATTCGGAAGATCGTTGCTATATATCTTTAAAATGTATACATTAAGCATTAATTGCAGTTTTCTCCGTTGCAATATATTTTATCTTACTTTGAAACTATTTATGCATCCTAATGTGAAGCTTCAATCTCCGTTATCAAATGTTGTTTAAACTCTCCTGTATGATCTTTCTGTGGGAAACAGAGTAATTTTTTTTTCTTTCATCTACATGAGCTTCTTCTTAAAATAATACTTGATCAATATTGCTATAATAGAGTTACGAGAAGATCTTGTTTTAAATTTCAATAAGTCACTTATGAAATATCAGAAAACCACTAGTAGACGGTAAATGACTTTTGACATTGATCCTGATGCGATACTTTTTCCTCAAAAATATCGTACGTTGAGCAGGATAAATGTAACGCTATTGCGAAAATCTTATCTTTGGCACAATTTTTGTTTATATAATAGAGCAATAGTTAAGATAGTACGAGCATGATATAAGTACAGTGCTGAACAAAAATTCTGGGACACACATTTCTCTTTTATAAATATTATGTTAAGAAGCAACTATGAGTAAATGATGATGTGTATTGATAGATCTAAGAGCAACCTCTCATATACTGTTATAGCATTATCATTCAATGTTTCTCTAGCAAGTTATATAAATGTGAATATTAGCCTATTAGCCAAAAGTTCTGGGGCACTGAAGAAATATTCTATTAGATATCTAAAATTTCACATATCTAATAGTACGCGTAGGCAACCATATCAAACATGAATAAAAACATAGAAAAATTTTCTTTTGAAAAATCTACAGGATGGAACGTATTCAATTAGTCAGAAAGTTTTGTATAAGCGAGAAATTTATCTTAAAAATTGTAATTTTTCATATGATCCGACCAAAGTTCTTTTTTTAATGAATGACTCGAGTGTTCGAGTCAAGTCACCGTTTCGAAATTTCCGAGTCCGAGTCTAGTCCGAGTCATGACTCAGACTTGCCTAGCCCTGGGTTGGCGTGTATGTATGTGAAAAGTTGTTATGAGTTTAAAATAAAGAGTAAAACACAGTTAACATAAAATATTATGCGTGAATCAAGATAAGCAAAAACAAAATTAATAAACAATCAAGCAACACAATTACAACGGTCTTCCTTGTATTCATTACGGTCAACATCTTATATTACCATCTTCATCTTCTATCCACTTACTCTTAATTCACATTTCATGTATTATTTTTACGTTACAGTTACCTTATCATTTTTTAAATGTTTTAACCCATTTTGTTTGTTTGCTATCAGTACTCAACAATCAATCACACTTCTATTATTCTTATCACGAAATATTATACTAGTCCAGCCTAGAGATTTGCGCGAAAAAAGAGAAAGTAATTCTATTTCATACGTATCCTGTAGAACTGTATCGTGAACAATGCATCTATTCTGAACGAAAAATCTTCGTCCATTTGTGAGAATATTCAATTGGTTCTCAGCTATCATTTAGTAGTCAATACTCATACGGCATTATTTAGATCTTCCGATTTTTTAGATATCATACATATATTTTATTATTTGTGGGATAAATTTCGCTTGTATACAATTAATATTTACGATCAACGGCGAATTATTCACCATGTCATCTTTGATGTTTTTGCTGTCATTTGTTCTTCTTGTTTGTTCTAATCATATAAGTAAGTTTTGAAATTTCTTTTGTAATGAACAAGTTCATCGAATGCCATTATTTTCTGTATACGTATAGTTGTTATGTACAAATTGAAAAAATGCTCAGACGAGTGATATGTATCAGAGCTGACTTCATCCCATACAAGTATCCTTGACTTTGTAAAACAATTGAAACAATGTGAATAAAAACTATCAAGGTTATATTTCAACCTGAGTGTCGAATTAATTAGAGTGATTTTTTTTATTTCTAAGTAGCATTTGTTTGTCGACTTCAGCTTAGCATTGATATACGAATATCCATTATTTCCTGTCTTAAGCAGCGAATTTCATTCCACTGTTCTTTTCGTAATTGTTTATGAGTAACACAATGAGTCTAATTGAACGTAAAGATTGCTAAAACTGCTACACGAACGCTATACTTAACTGTTGAATAGAGAAATCGTTTCTCATCTTTTGATAAGACAAGCTTGAATATTTCCTGAGCTATCTATTTTGGAGACATCAGACACTGACCCGCATTATACTATGAGGAAATACATTCGCCACTATCATCTATATATATTTATTTTCATTGTATATCTTACTAGGAGACGCAGTAGATAAGAGCAGTAAGCCGTGTACGAAAGAAGATGCGCAACCAAATTTTTTAATCATTGTTGCTGATGATCTTGGTTGGTCTGATATATCGCCGTTTGGTGGTGAAATCAACACACCTAACCTTCAAATGCTAGCCCACAAGGGAATTCGATTCACCGATTTTCATACGGCTTCAGCATGTTCACCCACTCGATCGATGCTACTCAGTGGTACAGACAATCATATTGCTGGTCTTGGTCAAATGGCAGAATTAATTATAAGTCACCTAGATATTTGGCAAGGAAAATCTGGTTACGAAGGTTATCTCAACGATCGAGTTGCTGCTCTATCCGAAATACTTCAAGATGCCGGTTATTTTACCACGATGAGTGGTAAATGGCATTTGGGACTAATGGCTGATCAAATTCCGGGAAAACGAGGTTTCGAGAATAGTTTCGCCTTGTTACCTGGTGCCGGAAATCATTATGCCGATGGAGTTTCGAAATCATTACTTCCACCAATCTATGTACGCAACTTCACATATATTGACTATAGAACACTCAAAGATTTTTATTCATCGGATTATTTTGCTACCGAACTTATTGAAAGCTTAAAATCAAATATGATGAAAAACAAAAAGCCATTTTTTGCTTATCTTCCTTTCACCGCTCCTCATTGGCCACTTCAGGCACCTGCTGATATTATCGCCAAATACAAAGGAGTCTACGATAAGGGGCCATCCGTTCTGCGCAAAAACCGACTTAAAACTCAGCGCAAATTGTGTCTTCTACCATCCGATACGATTCTGCCAGTTGTTGATACAGATCAACAAGAATGGGACAAACTCACGCCTGCTGAACAAGCTTTTAGCGCAAAAACAATGGAAATCTATGCTGCTATGGTAGAACGCATGGATTTTGATATCGGACGTGTTGTGAATTATCTGAAGGAAAGTAAACAATTGGAAAATACATTCATTTTGTTTATGTCAGATAATGGAGCAGAAGGTATTACTTTGGAAGGCATTCCGATCTCATCTTCCTCGCAAACTGGTCTACACTTTAACAACAGCTACGAAAATATAGGCAACAAAGACTCATTCATCGCATATGGACCATATTGGGCTCAAGCAGCTACTGCACCGAGTAGAATATTCAAAGGTTATATTACCGAAGGTGGCATTGGATGTCCAGCAATCGTGTTCTATCCCAAACTTAAAACATCTTTAGATATCAGTCACGAATTCACAACCGTTATGGATATCCTACCTACTATTCTCGAACTTGCAGATATTCCTCATCCGGGTACAACATTTCGCAATCGTACTGTCGTTACACCACGAGGAAAATCTTGGCTCCCATACTTACTTAACCCTAATAAACACATACATGTTCATAGTAAGCACGATTTCACAGGATGGGAATTATTTGGTCAACGTGCTATACGTCATGGAAATTATAAAGCTATATTGATGCCTAACGAAGCAAATACCGCAAAATGGGAACTGTATGATTTGTCTCGGGACAAAGGGGAATTAATCAATTTGGCTGATGAACGACCGGATCTGTTGAAAGAACTTGTTGAAGCATGGTTCAAGTATGAAGCTGAGACAGGCGTTATCATTCCGGAAGATGGTTGGGCTGTTAGATTGAATCCAGATGATTTCAGACCTGCTATAGAAAATGCTACTTCGCCTTCATAAGGCATTTTTATTAAGGACGACGTTTAGATTGTAGGTGTGACGATTTGTATTAGTTTTTTCTTATAAAGTTGTTAGAGAGCACTTTAACAACTGTCTGTTAACTTCTTCATCTCTTTTTTTTGTCTTCTAACATGTGCGTCATGCGTGCGTACGTCTGTTCATGTCTTTCTTTTCTTTCGTTTAGTCACATATACTATAGTAGTACACAGGTGGACAAAAGTACCCCCCCCCCCCTGGATCTCAGCTACTATGCAAGCTAATGAGCTGAGAATTGGAGTACACATGGTTCTCGATAAATGTAGATCAGCAGCGAAACTCGCGCCCCCAAAGAATGGGTAACAAGAGAGTTATTAGACAAACGGTTCATCGCCATTGTAGACCCTATAACTTGAGAACAACAAGACCTTTTGAGCTGGAAGTTTCATCATCTCAAAGCCCTGTATATTGGCTGTCTCGGGTGTGGGTGTGGATGGGTGTAGTGGGTGTGGGTCTGAGGGCGTGGGTGT